ACGGGTTTGCAGCGAAGATTCCGTTCCGATTTTTTTTAATTCCTCTCGATTTCCAAGAAAACTGTTACGAAATTTTCAATCTCGACGAACTTGCAGAGAACCCACGTGCAACTGTGTCTAATCGATACGGGCAACTTTTGTGACGCTTTCGCTATATATAGGTGTATATAGGTATCACCCCAAAAAGTATTTTCCGAAAAAGAAACCCACAGCATCATTTTAAAATCAATAAAAATACAGTTTATACCCCTGGCAGCCGCCGCCCGGAATCTGAAACGCCCGATGGTGGGTAGGTATATAGGTTTATTTCAAATCGCAGTCGTCTGCTTTATAAGAGTATACAATATTATATAAGTACCTACATATTATTATGTAATACTCTATCCAGGGGTCTATTTAAGAGTTCATCTAGAATAAAATAAAGCTAAATTTTAATTTTCTATTTGTTCCATTTTCGATTAAGTCATGTTTTCAATCTAATAAAATAATAAAAACTGCAATCTAATTAGTTGTATTAGGGATAACTATAAAGATAATAATTTAAGGCTATACGATACTCGATAAGAAGTTTTTTATGGGAATGGTAATTATAGATGGTGATGGAAAATCATATTATACTGAATGGTTATTTAGATATATGAATTCAAAAAATAATATTTTAATTTTAATTTCGCGATTCATATTGTATAGAACAGTGGTGCCTTTTTTGATCCATGATTCACAAAATTATTTATTTTGATGATACTATCCGACCCCACTTCCTATCAACATTATGTCAGTGTATGATAAATACTTACTTAATGGTTTTAATGTATACAAACATTTTATTTATATAAATTAAATCATCAATTTTAGGCAGTTTTAATATTCATTTAATCTAATTAATCCAAAACATAAAAAAAAAATACAAAATTAGAGTTTTATAAAATATAAAAATAAAAAAAATTACTAAAATTATTGTAATTATAATCAACATTTTAATATTTTTAAAATTACGAAATTACTATTACATAATCGGCTATCTACGGTATAAAATAATTTTCGTTGTGTAAAATAATATACATACTATATAACTTTTTCATTTGGTGTTAATATTTATTCACGGCACCCTAATAACATTTCGCGATTCCCACTTTCCCAGGTTGCGTACCACTGGTATAGAAAGTAGAAACCTAAAAGGCTAAAACCAACGATTCGGGTTAAAATTTAAGAAATATAATCACTAAAAATATTATTATTAATTCCCAGAATTGTTTCAAAGTACCGAGTATTTGGTACAGTTAGTACTTTAATAGAACCTCACATATTCTCAGTAAGTACAGCGAGTACTAAATATCGTAAAATATGACACAGATATTCTTTTAAATATAGGCACCAAGCTAATAACCTAATAACTAATAACTAGGTATTTACTATTATTTGTGTACTGCAACAGTACTTGTTATATAGATTGATAAACGATCTTACACTTTACGTGCAAACTACTTATAACTCGTAAAATAGTTTATACATAAATATTAAATAATAATAATATAGGATAGATATATTCAATTAATTGACGAAAATAAAAAAAATTGAAAGGCGATCGTCGCGTAATACGGTCGTTATTGACTATCAATAGCAATGAGAATTACTATTAGTGATTATAATATCACGGTCAGTGCTGTAAAAATAAAACATGTTTCTCTACATATTACCATAATAATATAATCGTTTTTAAACCACCAAGCTAATATTATTATGTAAAAAGTAATATATTGTATGTATAGATATGTAACTCCGTGTGACCGTATTGATGGATTATAGAACTCGAGTATAGCCGTAAATAAAGTAGTTACATTGGCAAAAGACACCAAAAAAATCAAAAGTCATCGAACAACATTTTTTTTCAAAAATAATTGGTTTCTATTTTCTGTAAAAAAAAAAAACAACATAAATGGTAAAAAAAAATGTTTATAATGGTGCGCGTATATTATTATCATCATTGAGTGTATTTAAAAATTAAAAATATAAAATATACTTATTGTACTATATAATTATTATCGTATGGTAATGAACTTATTAAAAAACAATTATGTTCAACTAAGTTGACCAATGTCCAAATATTTTATTAATTGATTGTAAATCAACCAATGTGCACATATTATATTAGGAGTAAGGTAATTATATAATAATATATCATATCATAGTATTATATTTATAGTTAACAATAAATTATATCATCATATTATCTAAAATCTAAATGTTATTTTATTTTACCTCAAACGTCGTTTACAGAAAAAACAATATACCTACAATGTTAAGTTTGAGATGGTGGTAGGTATCATTTACATTGTACAACATCACAGACTATTTGGTATTGGTATGAGTATATAATAACAATAGTAATAATAATCATGATGATAATAATAATAATAATAATGTATAGTAATAGTTATTGTAGCACGTGTGTATAATTTTGTGACTATGTACTGACTAGTATATAAATTATATAATTCAACGCCGTCGATGGCAATTCACGCGTGTTGTTTGAAGATTATAATAGTAATATTATTATATGCAAAGATTACGGACTCGTGTTATACAAGTAAATTAAGGTTGGCCAAACTCTTTGGCCGACGGTCGTTGGTATTATGTATATAATAATAATACCTAACAATAATGTTTTATATTATTTAAAATAGCACAGCAAATGAAGACTTTTCCATCATCAAAAAACAATGGTATATAATATTATAGTAGGACAGTTGTAGGCATACAATCAATAATTATCAAATAGGATGTATAAAATGCATATATCATTATTATAATACAGCGATCGAAGTTTAGGGTGATCTTGATATTTTATTTGTCATCTCCTTATACTATTTCACAACCCAATTTGTTTTCTTTTGAAAAATGATATACTCCACCAATATAATTTATACATATATTATAATATAACAATAATATACCTTCTATGGCCTTGCATGTTGGTATACTATATAATAATATATTTCATATACTTTAAACATATTAACTGTACTTTTATTTCGCCTTACATTGTAATTTACGACTCGAAGTGAGAGTTTTTACTGTTTCATTGTTTCTGCTCGCTGCTCTATTTCGACCACTGCAATATAGCAGGATATCTAACACAATAATAATAATATGACAACTGCAAAATAATCGAATGTGGTAAACGGTGGCCGGTGGGATCATTAATCATTATATGAAGACAAAAATAACATGTAAAACAATATTATATAATATTATTAAAATTAAATAATAACTTTGGAACGAATAAAAGATGAATTTATTGCTAAAAATCATAATAAACATCGATTTATGTGGAATTCTATAATAGCATTCTATAATAATATTATATTACACATGTTGTTGGAAACTAATATAATGTACAAGTATTTTGTATGCATATTACTCTCGCAGGGCACAACATATTATTATGATAGGTACCTACACATATTTTATTTTATTTTTTTATTTTTTATTTTTNAGTTGACGTTAAAATATATAAAAGAACATATTAAATGTTTTTTTGCAACAAACGCCTAACTATTAACGGCGTTAATCTCCAGGAGCACGAGGGACACATTCCCTCCCAAATAATTTGGTGGTATAAATATGTGAGTATAATATGGTGGGCTCATTGTAGCTGGTAAAGGTTATATTATAAGTCTTAAATAATAATTAAACTGTAATATTGTAATATTGTATGATTAACTCATAAACCAGTAAATACTAAATAGACACGACGTTTGAAATTGTAGATGATTATTAATAATGGTGGGTTGGGGGTAAATTTATAGCTTTGCCCACCTTAAAAAGAAGAAAGAAATAATTTGCATGTTGAAACCAGAAAAACAAAATGTAACAAAAAAATGTAAAACTAAAAAATTATTATTCAAACAAATAGAATCTTGTCTAATTATCATCGGTGGAGGTGGATCTGTGATTTTGAGTCTGGCATTGACGAAGCCCCTTACAGCACCACCTCCATAATCATACATATTATTGCGCAAATGATTTATATTATTATAATATTATTTTAGTATACAGGAGATGGTCAATCATGATCTATGATACAGGCTTAAGTGAAATATATTAAGTCGGACAATGGTCTAAATATGGCTTATGGATCACGCGAGTGTAATTTTTATATTATTTCATTTTATCACAATACGGGCCGGGGCCCAAATAACATTTATAAGGCAGAAATTATAACTTATGATTCTAAGTGTATGATTATTTTATCAAAAAACAGTATCATAATTTCAAAAACGTTTTTGAAAATATTTTTTCCAAATGATTTCAAGTAGTTAAAAAATAACCAATTTGAAAAAAAATTAATATTTTTTAATCTTTATATTGTCATTTAAAAAAAAAAACTGAAAATTGTAGTGACGAAAATTGTAAATGAGTTTTTTAATGTTTTATGTAGACTTAAAATTATGAAAATATTTTCAAAATGTTAATATCTCACTTAAAATATTGATAAGTGATTTATTATTGAAAGTAAAGCATTCCACCAGATGAATGGTATAGTTGTATAACAATTATTTGACGATACTTTTGAACGATATTATTGTAAATTATAGCAAATGGGTTTATTAGCTTCCTGTTTTTAAAATTTTTTTTTTCGCGGTCGTGTACAGTAATAATAATAATTAAAATAATAACTACAATAAACCATAATCTCTGAGGCGTCCTATGTATAAGATGATTCACCAAGCATGCTCTCCTTCTTTTTGCTTCAATAATGCGATTGTTAAAAACATAATTTTTGGAATTTTAAAATTTACTTAAAGTTTTTTTTTTTTTTTGCATATTCTTGAGATGTACAACTCAAAGAATGTTCTAGAGTGATACAGCCTTTTGTTTTTAAAATGAGAATATATAAGTACTACACCGTACTCAGTTATTACTTATTAAAATTGTTAAACTAAGGATAATAAATTATTGTCCTCAATAAAGAATAGTTTTATAAATGTAAAGTAGATGTCGATAAGAATTAGATTTCAGATAACTACATTATTGAACAAAATATGGAGTGAGCATGCTTGGTGGATCACCCTGTATATTATATATAAAATATTATATTCATATAACAAATTTTAATATAATCAATTATGCGAACGAGGGTAAAATATTTTATAATATCGTATAAATGGTTATAATATTTTTCCCGATATTATGTGGCAATTTTTGTGACCGCCAATAGCGTCAGGGCGACTGCGATAGTCGCGGCGCTCGGTGCGTTTGGCGCCGGTCCGGCACCAGTCTGGGCCAGGCCCTGCTGGTTGGGCTCGTCGATCACGTTGCTCATATAACTGGTGGTGTCCGGTCTCTTGGTCGGTGGCTGAGCAGACGGGGAGACGCCACCGCCTCCAACAACACCGCCGACACCCGCGGCTGACACCTGCCACGTTGGCGTGCTGAACGACGCGGCTTGCACGGTGTGCCCGCGGCTCGTCCTTTCGCTGCCCGCGGCCGCTGTCGATGGTCCGCCGGTCCAGCCTCCTGTGTTTTGCTCTGGTCTCCAATCGTCCTGTCGTTTTGTCGCTGCGTGTCCGCCATGGAAAAAAAACAAAAAACACAACGTCAATATGTCACGACGTCGTCGTCGTCGATTTTGTAGGACTTTGAACTTAACATATTGAAAAACCCATAAAAAATGAGGTAACTCAACGCACTGTAAATTCCGAAAAATGTACTAGAAAACCTATCAACTAGTTTATCAGTATAAAATGCACTTAAAGTAATACCTACCTACTTTTAAGAATCATAGTTTATGACTTATGAGTATAAAAATCTATCAAGTGTAAAATATTTCAAATTGAAGATTAAATTAATATGACATGTGTATACTGAATAACTCGTAGAAGATTTACAAAGTGAAAATTAAAAAATAACTTATGAGATTTATGTTAACATTATAATTGAAAGAAATTATTTTAAAAAAAAAACTAGAAAATGATCAAAAAAAACTTAATAATTAGAATAATGCAAACAGACGTTAAGACAAAAGTTTTAAAATTTAATTTAATAATACCTTATTTTAAAACTTGTGTTAAAGAACCTATGGTAGTCAAAGCATAATGCATTTTCCCCCAAATTCAAAGTCTTAGTTGTAATAATAATAATAATAATAAATTATTGACAATGATATTATGATCTATATTGTTAAAAATGGGATTGATGAAATAATATCACTAAAGCGACTAAAGAGACCCTAAACCGCAGTTCCACAGTTTTTTTTGTTAAGTTGTACAAAAACGGATATTGCACTTATACTAACTTTATCTCGTTTTTACATGAATAATCCGATGCGCATTGAATTAATAAATACTATTTATAATATCATAACGCGTGTATTTGATTTTGATTTTAAATAATAATTTATGTAGGTACCCATGTATTGTATTATAATAAATAATAATTAATGGTGGTTTCTTCAAAGGCTTTGTGAAGGTCGTTATTGTTTTATAAAATAATATCATACTATTAAGTAATATTAAATGAAAAATAAATATATATCTTAATGCACTACTGGTAGTGATATTATATTATAATTGAGCTGGGTATCGTATTTTAATAATTATTTTAGTTGATTGTGTATGTATGCGTGTAATATGGACCATTGTCCATCATGCGTCACAGAGCGACCACAAAAACAAATCTATCGCGCCGGAAATGTTGAACATTTTACAATTTATAATGACTGTAAAAAAAATATATAGTTATTATAATGTTAATTTGTATCTATTATTTACGGCGGAACGATGTAACAAATGAATAAGTCAATAAGTGAGGGTTTTTAAAAGGTTATTGGGAATGTTGTTATTAATGTTATTATACAGAACTAGTGTTGATAAGTCTTTAATAATTATTATGCATATTATAAAGTACAACCTATTGACTATTACTAAACGGCCTATACGCAGTCGGTTGTACACATGTACTTGGTTTGATGAGGTCACGAATGAAATTTTAAATAATTTTTGTCATAACGAAAGGTTAATAATAATATGAGACATTGTTTTTCTGTATACCTTCTTATTTATCAGAACACGCCCGAACTGCAATAGTGATAATAGCTTCGAAATTACAATACCTACCAAGTACCAACGCGTATTTGATATTATAAGAGTCGGGTGAGATTTCTAACGTGGCTCGTATCTGTGGTCTACGAATTGGGCCAAAACTACTGACGTAATATTAACATAAAGGCTGATTCACCAAGTGTGCTAATCACCTTTTTCTTTATCGATAATACAATTTTTAAAAAGCTTGAGATTCTTTTATTAGCTAAGGAGTGCCAAGCGGAGAAGCACATTTTTTGTTTTCAAATGACAACTTCCTATTTTCTACTGTAAATTATTTAACAGATTTTTGAATTACTTAACTTTTTGTAGGTACAAAGGATAATAGAACCACGATGAGGGTTCAAAAGATATATTACATACAGACATAGTGATGGGAAAATAGTTGTAATTAGTATTAATTTTTCAACATTAATAATTAGTAAAAATGGTAAAAGTACCTTTGAAAATTCTATCTAGTATTTTTGTAGATACAATATTACATAAAGGTACCTTATGTTTTTGTGAGACCTTAATTTTTAAGAACAATAATACATTATTTTTAGTAGGTTTTCATTCAACATTTTAATAACTGAGATATAATCGTTAAATAAAATTGTCTGCTAAATAGTTTACAGTTAAAAAGAGGAGTTCTTGTTTAAAAAACAAAAATTATTATCTCCACAAGACACTCCTTAGGGAGCTCAAAAAATCTCTCGAGAATTTGGATTAATAGTCCCTCTAAGTATATTTAAAAATTTCAAAAACCAGAATATTATAAATAATCTCATCCTGTATAATATTTTACTGCGGATGTTACGCGAGTCATACCTATACGCTGGGAGGTGTATATTATTATAAAACACGCCGCGGAAAATTTGATAAAATACAAAACGTGTATAGGAGCGCTAGCGGCTCGCGGCTGAAGCGTTTTAATTTTTGTAGATTACGTAAATTGCGTAATAATATTATAATAATATACAACAATAATATGTAAACAGAAAACACGTGGAAGGTTATCTAGCATAATATTATAATATAAATTGGACGAGTGTGAGTTGTCTATTTTATTATGTGTAATATTATTTGGGGCCGACGAAATCGAACATATTGACAAACAAAAACAGGATTTTTCTCTAAACCGTTAAATATATTGACCGTCGGTTTCGGTCCTAAAGGTCAACATACTAAACATATGTACGCATAATCGAGTTCGATCATTCTATTTAGTTATAATATTTTATCTAATATTTACCAATATGTATAAATTATGTAATAATAATAATGCGTGTCGATAGGAAAAATATAACCTTTCGATGGAATCACGCATGTTCCTTATATATTATGGTCAATCGCAGCTTGTTGCGACAAAATTGGCGGAGATCACATTATAATTATTACTGTTGTGAATAATTATATTATCATGATGCATAAATACCACCGTACTATAGGATTTTATTGGAATTTAACGTTAATAAGTATTGTATAAAACTATAAAACATGGTATACAATTACACGGACATCATATTGAATGTTAAAATATTTCTTTTTTGATTCTAAGAGTAGCTTTAAATAATATATTGTTTTTAGTTTTTACAATCACGCGTGTTTATCATCTAATTTTGTGGTAGTAAAAATAATCCGATTTACGCTTTTGGCGTCTTTTCTGATAGGAAAGTGAATCTATACAGAGTTCGAATTTGAAAATTCCCATTAGAGGTGGTAGTTTACAAAACCTTGGGGGAAAACAAAACAAAAAATTGTTGGAAAAATGGGAATTATTACGCAAAAACAATTTTTGAAAAAATTTAACTAATTTTTTGGTATATCCCAAAAACTCATAATTATAGACACGAAATATTTTGATTCTTTTTGGGCTATTTATAGCCATGATAATTTTTCGAATTTTGTAATTTTTTTAGTTATTGTCGATAAAAATATATTTACTCTGTAAATAGTTTGAAATTTAATTCGAGGTTTCTCATAAGTTGTTTTGATATAGTTCAATTAAGGATACATAGATATAGTTATTTTTCATATGCATTTAAAGTTCAAATTTTTACAAAATTCAGAAAATTTGGAAAGTATTTTTCAGTTTGAACTCATAAAAAATTTTCATTTTATATCTAAAATTAGAATTTTTAATAGAAAATTCCCCACAAGTTTTCTACCTTTAACAAAAAAAAAAAAGTTTAAAAACAATCTACACTATTTTCATAGCCATAAGACACTAACGATTTTTATATATTTTTATTTATTAAATTTGATTATTTATACAAGACTGTCCGTCTCTGATCAGTATCGTTTTTTGTATGTAATGATTTATTATTGAATTCAAATCTAACATATTCATTACAACGACACACTGGATAATAACTTTACTGCAGAGCGGTACTCACTTGTCAATCTTTTTTTGCTATTCGTTTACAGAGGGAAATTAAACAATTATAATAATAAAACGTAGTAATTCTAATCTTTTCCACTCATTGAACTATATATTTATATGTGTTTACAATAAATAGAATTAGTATAGTACATTGTTTGAAAATGAATAGGAAACATTTCATTATTGTACTTTGTATTGGATAGTATATTCTTTCTGTTCCGACCAGTCAACATACACAAAACCAAAATCAAATGATGTTCATATTATAAGAAATGTTGAAATATTTAATTTGTTTTTTATTAATTTACAGGAAAACATTATACAATATACATTTATAATAGTATAATATATTAATCTTCATTTTTTCCACTCATTAAACTATATATTTATATGTTCTTAAAATGTATAGTTGTTTATCAGTGGATTGTTTAATAGTGAATAGAAACATTTGTTTTTAGGGACTTTGTAATGGATCATCTTTTTGTTCAGACTAGTCTATACACAGAAATGCAAAATCCAATAAGGAGATTAAAAAAAACCATAACATGCTACTCAATATTTTTCTCCTACAAGGGAAATCTATGAATCAAAAGTATATTTTTGTTAACAAGTAACCATGACTACGAAAACCTTACGAAAAATCAGTCAGAAACAAAAAGTCTTGTATCTTGCCAAAAACATACATATGTATATTTGAATATAATATTTCTCATTATTTATATTAGTGTTAGTACCATTTAACTATAATCTATATAATAAATAATAATATGCATAATATGTATTCTCAAATAAGCTAAAAAAATTAAATATTTCAGGGTCACACAATATTGTGTAGGCATAAAATAATCATACAATGCTTGCACGACATGTTTAGTATTGACCGTAGCGATGCTGTATTATATTTTAATAAAACATATATTGTGTAAACCAGAGGTTCTCAAATTTTTTTTTCCCGTACCACGAATATGTATTGCAGACATGTATAGTGACTAAAAATGGAATCATTTAAAATATTAATAGGTACACATTACATATAGTAGTTTTTAATATTATCTTTACCCAAAACACAAAATAATTATGTATTAATTCTCTAAGGTCCCTTTAAGCTTTTATTTGTGAGCTGAAAGTGTATAACTCTAATAATTTAATAAATCTGAACAAAAAAGAATAATTATTATTTGTTTATGGTTTAGTGAGTTTGGTCGCCACAGTAATTATTCGACGAAACTATTTAAAATTTTTTTTTGCATAGTTTAGAGATTCCGTACCACTACCACATAGCCACACCACAACATGGCCTTCTGCAAAGTTTGAGAACCACTGGTGTTAACCAATAAAATCATAAACATTATGATAAATGATTTATAATATTACAAAAGGTGTGGTTTTTTTCCCCAACTCGAAAACCATAAGAGATATGTTCGAAATTTCACCTAACTCGTAATAATAGCAAACGTTGTAATGTGTTCCACCGTCTACTTTACTTGTAATATTAAATTATAATATTCTAATCTCGTAAACTATCATTTTTGTTGTTTAAACGTATACAAATAAATATATTATAAATACAAAAAAAAATGTCCACGTCCCACAACACGATGGCAATTTATTGTCAAAAAATATAATAATTGGGTCCATATCAAGCAAATTGTCGTAAAATTATGCTCTATATAATAATAATAAATATGATATTGTTATTTACTATAGTTAAGTATAACTTAATAATATCTTACATGGCCACTGGTTGGGACTCGGAGATCCTTTACCCTTATCGTCTTGCCATCGGTTAGTGGTCATCGCATTATAATATTCATATCCAGGACATTCGTCTTGATTGGGCCTGCGAACATGGTAAGTATGTAATGGTTTAAAAGTATTATTATTATTTTGACCGATCCAACTTAACACCGTCGTATATATATTATGTAATGTAATTCAACCATGTATGGTGCTCACACTAATTTTTTCTTTAATACAGAATTTATTCAAAAACTGATTTTTGGAATTCATGAATATACTTAGATAAATACAATATTTTCAAATTCTTGAGATTTTTTGTTCTACTTAAGGATAGTGTTGGGCCAAGTCAACAAAAATAACATCTAGATGAGATAAAGATAATTGCGTAAGAAATTATGTAGATTCAGATTCAGATACCTAATCATTTTTACTTTTATCTAGATAAAGATAAAATGTTTTACCATAACAGATATTTTCTTTTTTTGTTAAAAATGCATAAAAACAAATATATATTTATTAATTATTTTACACAAATTGTTTTATTTTTTTATGACTAATCAATTTAATCAACAACTTTTGTATGTGATGCCTTATTTTAATTGTTAAATCATGATTTATTTCGGTGTAGCTACTTTTTTACTTCAACTTAAACTGAACATGGAGTTATGGTAAGTCTTATTATTTTTTTTTTCAATTATAACTAATTGATAACTTATATTATTTTTTTTAAGAAGTCCGAACTTCAAACTCTGTACCCACAATTATTATCATAATTTAATAAATAATAATTGCATTCAAGTACCATTAGGGTAACACCTATTTAAAAAATGAATTATATGTAATAAATTGCAATAGCAAAACAAACTTTTTAATTATGAATATAATTCAAAAACATTTTAGAATTGTAAGGTCGTTGTGGATAATATCAATATAATAATATGTTATCGCTCGCAAGTAGGTATACCTATGTTATTAATTTATTATGTTCTGAGCTATTTATGTTCGATTTACTTTCCGGACACCGCCTTACCAACCAAAAATCAAGATAATAATAATAAAACGTGAAGTTCCGAACGTCTAGTGGGACAGTACTGAATGCCGATGACTATATTACTATAATAAACTATAATAATAATATTATGTTAACATAGACTCTTGCAGTCATACCTCATAATACAATATTTCCATCACGAGTTCACGAAATAATGTGCGCCGCTGGACGATGGTTAAACCACTTTTACGTAATAAATAATAATATAATTAAACTATTTAGCTTTATATAAATAGACAAAAACGTCGTTTTTCCTTGAAACCAATTCTAGTAATCAACATTACACCAGAAAATTAATAATAAATAACAATCAAATTCGTGTCAGCGATAATGCGCCGAGATACTACACCTATTGCAGTATTGCCTATACCAATATACTTAGTCGCTAGTGCTATGAAAAAATGAAAATATTCAGAAATAGTGTAATAATATTTTGTTTGATCAATGATAAGTTTACTAAAACACGTTTAATAAAATTGAAAATTAAAAGTACCAAACCACCGAGAAATCAATTAAAACTAAAAATAATTTATTTAACTAGGTATACAGTTTATCTTAGATGACAATCAGATAACTAATATCTTATTTATCTAGATGAAATATAGATGTTGTAGTTTTATTTAGATACTGCTCAACACTGCTAAAAGAGTGTCCTGTGGAGATATTATAAGTCTCTGATTTTCAAATGAGTACCTCCCTTTTCAATTGTAAATTATTCTGTAAATCATTTTTTTGAAAAATTTGATGTATCAGAATCAAAATTCGTAAGAGTAGTTTTTGAGTAATTTAACTTTGCGTTTTAAGGGTAAAATTCCATGGTAATGTTTTTATAAGATATGGGGGTTACTTATTTGACAATTTTAATAATTTATATTAATTTATAAGGATTTTATATTTTACAAAAATTGGCATAGTATAATAAATTCTAGATCCAATGTCTATTATGATATTTTTGTAAGTCTATTTGTAATGACTGTTATGCTTATTAGTGTGTTTAAACATTTCAATGACTTGCGATTTAGTCATTTAGATCTATCAAAATGTTCAAAAAAAATCATCTGCTTAACAAAAATTCACAAAAAAACATTGGATACTATTTGAAAAAAAAAAATTGCACTACCACGACAGGACATTCCTTAAATGTATACCTAAGCAATCGAAATAAACAAAAACATGGTTTTTAAGTACACCTATTCTTAAAAATTCCAAAAATCGGTACATGAATAAATTATTTGTTCATTATTAAAAGCAAAAATTGAAAATTGAAAAATGGAGGTGACCCTGATAGGCGAGTCACATCGTAGGAGTAGACACGTCAAGTTGCCACGATTGCGCCGTGAAAATGAGAAAAGAAAAACAATTTAACATAACTCGAAGTATATTGGACAATTATCGGATCATCAAGATATCGTCCTTATAACCAGGACACGACGACGTTTATAGGTACACCATCAGTCATAATATAGTTGTTGACCGAAAAAACAATTAAATATATAATATAATATAATTCAGCATAATTAGGTACTTACACGTAATCTATACACTGGTTGCGGAAAAATCCAAACGCTTTGTCCAACAATTGTTGTGTAAACGAATCGTCGTCTTGGTTGCATGTCCTCCGTGTTTGGTCGAGCACACATTCCCGGAATCTGTGGTGAGTGCTGAAACAATCGTCCCAAAATAATATATTATTATTAGTGTGAGTATTTATTTTTTTACGCGCCAGCTAAGAAAAAAAATGAAAAGTCGCGAATTGACTGTATGATCAGCGTCCTCGAATTATGACGACTAGACGTCAGATGACCACATAATATTATTAAAATAACATTTTAAATGACATAATATTATCTTTTATTATTTTTATTTATATAATTAGACCGTTTGCTCAACTGTGGTTGGTAATCAATCCGAAGCGCATCTGATAGGTAATTTATTCATATTATACATTGAGTATAATATTATTTTGATGTACCAATTGTGCGCTATGTATATGGGTAATAACAAAATAATTATTATCGTATAACATCCGAAGTAAAAACAAGACTTTGATGACGTCCCATTAAAATAATAATGACAAAATAATGATAAAATAAAAAAAAGTGAAATGAAAATAAAAAACCTGATAAGTGGGTAACAGTCTGCTGTGTACATTATGTGTCTGGACTCTGGAGAAGTCACTGTAATGGATGTGTTAAATTTGAATTCAATGATATAAAATCATTGGATTTGAAGGTCTGTTATACTTTAATATTACTAAGTTTATTTTATGACATTATGTGATTGAAGTAATCTATTTTACTATCAGGAATTACTGCATTAATTTCTGCCCTAAAAATTGATTTAAAAATGTTATTGTGAGTTAGAAATATAATAATATACTTTAAAAGTGTCAGGTGAACACGAATAATATTTTTAAATTACAACAAAATACAGTTATTCTTCTTTAAAGTATCTAATTTCTCCCAAATTTGAATTTAAAGTGTCTGTAGGTATAATAAAAAACTGTGTTTAAAATTTTCATAGATTTTTCAGTTACAGCAAGAAATATTGATGAGAATCCTTGTTTTAAATTTTAGATCATTAGCTATAAACATTTTAATATTTCATAAGTTCTTTGATTTTGACGAATTTTGTCAAAATTTGAACTTTAATATACCAGAAAAAAAATTGTGCATATGAATTTTTAATACTTAACTGCTAATTATAATAACGCATGAGGAACTTTATTTGAATGTTCAAAAATGAATAGATAAATAAGTTTCTATTGACATTAAAAAAAAAAACACTAAAACAATTGAAAATTGAAAATGTCTACAAATAGTACATAATATTTTTAGAATTTTAGATAACCACTTGTGTAAATTTCAAGTACCTACAGTTAATAGTTTTTGAAATACAACAAAATAATAAAATCGTTTTATGATAATTTGTTAATTTACTTGTTAAGATCCTTTGTCTTCAAACGCTCATAATTTTTTTTTTGTTAAAGGTAGAAAAACTTATGGACAAAATTAATTTTCACTAACAACTTATGAGGAATTTTGTATTAAATGTTCAGGTTTTATAATAGAACATAGGTATTTAAACGTTTGATGTTACAAGTACATTTAGAAAGATTAAGAAAATTTTGAAATTTAAAAAAAATGTATCAACAGTAGTTAAATGAAAAACATAATTTTGAAATTTCCTCTCTAAATGTTTTTCATACATTCAACGTTTAAATACCTATGTTCTATAACATGAACCTACTGACTGACTAAAGTGATATTCGATTTAATTTTAGTTTTTAAATACGTCCTTGTATTCCATATAGACATTTGAATTTCAAAACAATTAATCGATGTATTGATGAACTTTTGTTAAAAAAAATGAAAATAACAACAATTATTATTCCTATTTAGAGACATCTTATCAAGAAGTATATTAATATTATATCAATAAGAGGTATCTTTTTTTATTGAGAGATAATAATTTTGCACATTTTATTAATGCTATGAAAATGGAAAAAAAAATTATTATTGACCAGCTTTAACAAAAGTGTCCTTAAAAAACGTGTT